CTTTTATCTTACAGCATCCATCCACGCACTGTTATGGTCACTACAGTAGTCAAATGGTATCTTCTCTTTCTCAAACCCCTGTGGCAGCCCAAGGTCAGAAATACCCGTATAAATCATTCAGTAGGAAATGGCCGAGGTGAGCATTAGATTAGGATCAGATTTGGTTAGAATTAGGATATCATTCAAAACTATGTTTTCTATCTATGTGAACAGAACACTAACGAATTGAGACCAAAAGCAAAGCCATGACTTCCATTCCCATGTGGTGCTGGACTCCGTCTCCCTTTCTGAGGGTTCCCTATCCATACAAGTAGGTCTCTGTTCCCATCAGTCCACAGTGGCAGCATTTAATCCTACCTGCATGCAACCGAACGTTAGCACAATGGGAACCTAGAAGGAAGCAATATGAAATGAACAAAAACACTTCTTTTCTGAATGGCCGTATCAGCAGAGTTCAGAGAAGGGAACTTGCCCAAGCCATCCCATTCCAGAAATGAGTATTTCTGCTTTCTAGGGTTACTTCAAGTGCTACTTCTTTTGCATCTGCAGTATGCACCACCAGCTGAACAGAAGGTACTCTGGCTGTATGGAATACTGTTAAGAATGCAGAAATACAGTCATGCATGCAAGTAGTTGTCAGCTTCTCTTTGGGAACTGAGCCTCAGGCTCTGTTATCAGCAGTGCTTATTCATCCCCGGTTAGTTCTGTAAATAATGTTAACTACTCTGCGGTTCACATCAGCACACGGCCTTGTTTTGTTCCAAATGCCATGCTAGTGTACATTTGTTTCTATTCTAACTGAAGAGCTTGATGTAGTTTCTATAATTTAGTTTCTGTTAAACATCCACTACAGGATATCTCCCTGTCTAATTATCATCCCGCTGGCTTTTCAGCAAATGGAATGTAGTGACAGCACTATGTCTAACTGGGTATATAATAAAGCCCCTGGTAATTACTACTCTCAATTCAGTCTGCTCTGAGAGGATCAGAGGTGTGGCAACAGAATTAGGGATTAAGAAAAAATTAGTGATGCATGGAAATACAATCTGCACAAATGTTTTCACTTAAACTTGCCAATACACAGCTATCATGTTGCCTTCCTCTGCTCATATACTATAGTTAGCAAGATGTCTTTTGTGTGGAATTGAAACCAATTGTAGCAGCTCCCTGCAAAGTTAATTAGAATAATCACTGAACTGTGATGACACTATGCTGAATAAAACAAGATTGTCAGCATCAGTCAAATTACTAGCTGGTAGGCTTTGTTAGCTTGCTGTTACCTTGAAGCCTGTCAAAACTACCAGAAGAACAGATTTTGTTTTCTTTTTGAAACAGAAGTACTTTTATTATTATAGCAAAACCAGACAGTTCAGATTACAGAGCAGGAGCTAAAATGCTATCACTCAAAATCCCCCCATAACAATTAAGCACGTGCATTAAGCATCCCACTGCAATCAATAGTGTTTAAACTTGGGGTAGAATTTGTCCATTCATTGACATTTGCTGCAAAATATTTATTGTTCAAGGAAAATATATTTTTGTATATTGTTGTATTTATCTTAGCTGGGGATCTAAATTTTGGCAACCTGTGGATGAAATGTACTGGGACTATAAATGTTTCTATGATACTTGAAAAAGAATCAGTGAGGGGTATGAGTTTAGACCTTCAGCTTATTTTAGGAGAAAAACTCTCAAATATGTTTGCGAATCCTATGTTTGCAAGTTCAGTAACGGTGCTTTTTGCTAGACTGCATTGTGGTAAGATGAAGGGTTTTTGTCCACTCACTATAAATAGAAATAGGAATTTGTGTAAATCTTTTTTTTTCTTATTTGGCCATCAGATGACAAGTCCATAACACCTACACGTGGCGGTAGTATAGTGCAGCTAATAAGTCCACACATCTTATTAACTTTGTATCATAACCCTAAATTATATATATAAACTTTCTATGTACAAAGTTTCAAAGAAGCTGACATCCTGAAAATGCAATTATTTCAGATGGATACTCAGTTTAGGTTAGTTTCAATATGTGGATGAGTTGGCAGTGTAGAAAACATTTGCCAAGTATAGCATTATATTTTGGGACAAATTTAGCCTCTACAGGCTCCATGTGAGCCAGAATGGAATAAACCCACTGATATTTAACAAAAAAATATTGGCAGGGCAGTTTTTAAAGTGAATGGAATATTGATCCTGTGAGGTACAGACAGGAGAACCTGGGGTTGCTTGTGAGTTAGACAAACCCAGTGAACTGATGCCTTGTTCTCGGATTAACTTGGGATTGTTTAACCCATGAGCAGCCCAATTTACCTTGTTCAGCTGTCACAGAAACAACTTTCTGTGTTGAAAGCTTGTTGAAGGGCACTGTAAACAGCTCCAATACAGCTTACATTCCCTTAATTCATGACTGAATTAACCCAAAATTTGCACCAGAAGCCACCGTTATATCTGAGTTGGCCCAAAGTTTGATAACAACCCATTATTCCCACTGAAGTTTCTGGGAATAAAATTAAACTTTTTGATGCTTTTTTACAGGAACATTTAGCTTATCAACCTGAGACCATTTTTATCATGAAGTTAGGGTGACGTTTCCACCAGTACCTGTCATTTCAAGTACTCCATGTCTATTTTAGGAGCAATACATTTGTAAATTATGACTGATTATATATTTTAATATGAGACAAAGTGTGAAAATGCACAAACACTAATGCCAAGTTAAAATCCTAATGTACTAAAGAGAACTATAGAAAAAGCACCATTGCCTTAATTGTAGAAGAAAGCAATATATTATGTTTACATACATGCTATTATAAATTCAACTTTTATTATTATGTCCTTTGATATACAAACCTGCATTTAGCTGCAAGCAATGAACAGATGGTCACTGTGCTCATATGTACTAAAATACCTCACTGCCATAGTATCTTGCATACATCTTAGTGTTTATCAAGACATTTCAAATTCATTTAATTCATGATACTGATGTAAATTAATTTTCCAATTCCAGTATAACTACAAAATTATTTGACAATATTAAATTAATTCTTCTGTACTCTTTTTCAGACGATTATTCAATGTTTAGTTTGACAGCACCATGTCAGTGAATGGGAGAACAAAGAATGTACATGCCATTCTTGGCAAAGGGACACTATTCATGCCTTTAATTTTCACATTGATATTTTTAATTCATATCATTGTATTGGCCATTTTGTATGTTAGGAGGTATTTAAATCTTTCCCAAATCTGGGCACCTGACACCTGCTGGATACAATCAGAGAAGACGCCCCATTGATACCAATAGGAGGTTTCCTTTAATTGCAAATAGCAGATGTGTGAACTGCCCAGAGGGTTTCAGCTATATGGCAGTGTAGAAGTGCAATAAATAAATTCCTGATTTGCAACAGAGCCATGGTGATGAGAGAATAAAAAGGGGGCTTTCTGAGTCCAGGTCACATGAATCTGCACTCACTCTCTTGCTGTTTGTCCCAAATTGCTACAGAACGTCGAAAAATATAAGCATTATCCTTATCTGACCTGAAGGGTATATGGCCCCAGTTATAGTAAAGCCTTTGTCTGCTACTATTTATCTTCCCAAATTTACACAGCCACACTAAAGTCCCTGCCCCGATATTCTAAAATGAAGAGGAAATTCATGCATTGCACTGAGAGGTGGTACTACATCTGACACTGGAGATAATGTATGGCCACCATTGCTAGTGGTCATTGCTAACCTTAGCAACCTCCATCAAGTACCCAGTTCTAAGTGATGGATCTACCATTTGTCCCCTGAGCACAGGGAGGTCACAGGCATCTCAAAAGTCAGTTCCCAGAGCAAAAATAATCATCAATTAAACACCAAGATGTATTAGCTAGGATGAAACATTGGGATTATGACCCATTGCACAACCTCTGACATATTCTTGTTGGCCCTTGCTTTCTGTGAGCAATGTCTGTTCCATGCTTCTGATTTATCACAGTTATTTAATCAGCATAGGACATACACATACTTCTCTGCCCTGCGTGTCACCAAAGCATACATACGCGGATCAGAAGGGCATTAATGCAGCTATACACCACAGGAAAGGGTCTCCTGCAGCAGGGCTTAACACATGGGCCTGATGGGCACTTGCCCCTGGGTCCCATGCTAATCTGTGTATGTTAACCCTTGGAAAATCGGAAAACTTCCAAAATTAACAGTAGTTGTAGTTGTCATACGGGCCCCAGTACACTGCATTGCCCGGGCCCATAATGCTGTTAAGACGGTCCTGCCCTGCAGTGGGTAAAAATACACAGAAGACAGCAGTCTTTATCCTCAGTCAGTAAGCAATAGAACTACCATGGTGTGACAAGACACCCAAAGAAGGTTGTAACTGAAGGGAGGTGAGAAACAATGCCTGTTTTTTATACATTTGCAGTTATTCAAAGAATTTCTTTTACATTTATAATAATCACAGTACAATTTTCAGGTGGAATTTTGAAAGCACAAAAACCAAAACCAGTTTGAGAGGTTTCCATAATGAAAATGACCAGGGAAAATAACTGTACATTGACCTGGAGCCTAACACAATAGATCACATTCAGCTAAATGTGTCTGAAAGGGAAGAATCAGATCAAAGAACCACTGCTGATTGGATAGCAACAGCTTTACATGTGTTTTGCTTTCCTTTGTTTGCTTCCAAGGTCATTCACTGTGGTACATAAAGCAGCAGTCTATCCAAGCAGTGAGACATTCAAACTAAAGAAAAAGCATCATTAAAAATCTGCAAAGAAAAAAAATGACTCAGCAAAGATTTTTACCCATCTTTCCTCAAAGGAATTTTATTATATATTGTGGTTTTAAATTTGTCTGGTGCTAGGAAAGGCAGAGTACTAAGAACCTCAGTACAGGCTATTAGAAGTTGCAGCAGGGAAGAAAGATCCACAGAGAAAAATGCCTCTGGGGAGAAAAATGGATCTGTGTGAAATTCAATAAGAGTTAAATATAGCCAGAAGTACTCACATGTATTCTCTGTGTGCTGAATGTACAGCTGCTGCATTGCTGTAGCGCCAGAGAACTATCACTGATGACAGCACATCCAAAGTGGCATCAAACTGTAAAAAATACATACACATTTGATTTGCAGCTATATTTAAATCAATGTATTGCTAATTATGCTAGGTACGCGTGGATTCACTTGGTATAAATCAATTGAATAAAAGCATGGCCCAGCATTGCTTAAAATGAATTCTGCAAACAAATAAAATCCCAGTGTGGACCATATTCTGTCAGTGAAGAAAACATTTTTTTTTACTCTTCCTTTCCCCCACACAACCCTCTTTCTGCTGTAATGCTTATGTACATATATACATTCATTCATTCAATTTCTATACAACCAAATAGCCAGTTTTCTGAGAAGTTCACAAAGATTAAAAATCACTAAAAATGCATTAAAATGGTATAGAAACCGATTTACATACAGTTATTTAAACAGACAACACACAAGTGCATATATCTAAACAACTTTTTAATAATTGGTAAGAATAATCCAGGACCTGAATTTAAAATTCCTCATGTGCTGCCTAATGCCTGAGAGAAGAGACAACCCTTAACCAGGCTCCAAAAAGATAACTGTGTTGCTGCCATGTGGGCTTTGTTGGGGAAATGTTCCGCAATTGAGGAGCCAACACTGAGAAGGCTCTCTCCCTTGTTGCCACATCCTCAGCCTTCCTCACAGGGAGCACTTGGAGGAATGCATTAGATGTAGTATACAGGAAGGTTTGTGATGGGGGAGGCACACGGCCAGGTAATGCAGTCCCAAGCCACACAAAGCTTTAAATGTCCAAGCCAGAACCATCCATCATGCTCAGAAAGGTACAGTTAGCCAATGCGAGTGGGCCAGAATCAGTCCCGACCTTCTTGATGCTGTTCCCAATCTGGCCACCAAACCTTTGCCCAAGCTGCAAATGGAGTGGCCATCTTCACAGACAGCCCCGCATAAAGCACTTTACAGTAGCCTAACTCAGATGATACCAGAGCATAGATAGCAAAGCCAAGTTACCCCTGTTCTGATAAGAGTGTAGCTGGGCCACCAACTGAAGCGGGTTGAAAGCACTCCATGCCACCAAAGTCACCTGACCCTCAAATGACAAAATGGCTGCAGGGAACCCCCAGTGGGGTCAGGGAACAATCCCACCCAGAACAGGTCGAGTACACTCAATCTGACCAGAAGACCCATCTGCTAACTGCATATCCCCCAGCCAGGACTGCGTTTCTGTTTATAAGCCCCCATCAATTTCATTGCCACAGTCAGGCAATACTCCAGCACATCCACAGCCCCATCTGGTGAAGGTGAAAAGGATAAAGAGAGTTGCATGCCATCGTCGTACTAATAACAATGCTCTCCAAAATTCAGGATGACCCAACTCAATAGTTTTATGTAGATGTTGACTAGCATGAAGAACAAAACCAAACCTATGCAGAATCCTACACAAGACTATCCATGAGGTCACACAATATTCTCCAAGCACCACCTTCTGGAGCCAACCTGCCAAGCAGGTGCAAAACCACTGAGACGCAGTATGTCTGATTTCCAGCTCAGACATTTACCATGGTCACACTATGGAGGATTCTCATATTTATTTTCAGAATCTGGTATTCAGAGGTATTATAATTCCACACATGGAATCTAAGTTAGTTCTCCTGGCTAAATCCTTTTTAAAGCTATCAGCATTAAACCACTGCATTGTCTGTTGTTTTGGACAATGCAACAGGCACTGGACAACATTGGAGAAGATGTTATATATTCATGTTTTAATACTTAAATCACTTTAATACTTAAGCCATTTCAATACTTAAACCATTTGATATTAAATAAAACAGTTACTCTTCTAGCGCAAGAAATCGCTAGTATAACTTCACTTGTCATTCCTCCCTTCAATTAAAAGTTTTCAATTCTTCATAATATTTGTGGAGAATAAATATGGTGATCTGATCAGAGAGTACACAATATACATTTAGGTTATGAGATTACTTACTGCAAATCCAAATGATGATGCACTGTACCTCATTACAGAGACAGCTGAAAGAAAAGAGAAACTTTTTTTGATCTTTTTTTTTTATTGAAGTAGAGAAAACATGAAGCTTGAAGAAAATAAAAACACATCCATATCCCAGCATTAATAGTAATGGGTGCTACACAGATAATCTGTAAACCAGAGGAAGAACTAATCTACATAATAAGTATTTTTTAGGAAATAAGTCTTAAACAGAAGACAAGTATTCATGGAAGTTAGTGTAACAATGCCCTAAGTTTTCCTTTTCTTGAAACTTCGATGCTCAATTTCTTCCCAAGTGTTCACTTCCTTCTCTCTCTGGTGCAGCAACCTACATAGTACAAAGCAGCTTACAAGTATTTTTTATCCACCCAAAGCACTTTACAGAATTAACAGAACTAGTACATCAGAATTTTAAAAATAGTAAATACCTGAAGGATTTAAACACTGAAGTATTCTTTTATTGAGTTGGCACCCTGGTTGAGGCTATATGGTAATATGTCCCCCCAGGATAAATATTTATATTCAAGCTGCTCTTGATCTGGGCTCAGAATATGGAATAAGACTGAAGGAACTATCCTGTCATTTGCACCCTGGAACAGTTCCATAGAAAACATAGGATTGCTCTCTCACTGTCTTATTACAGTTTTAAATTGATGTAATTGAATTGTCACAGCTTTAAAATTGATGCAGATGCAAGGGTCAAATGTAGCTGCACTGTGCTAATAGTTAATTTGCTGCACAATACGGACAGCATTACCTTTTAAAATTTCATGTATTTTTAACCCATTCCATAAAAAATCCTCTGGGCAGAACACATGATAAAAGAATAAACATTATACAAAAGAAACAAAAATAAGCAGTACAGAAAATATTACATAGAATATATAAAGGCTGACTCAGTCCTTATAGGCAACACTAAACTGTAAAATCTAAAATACATAGTATTTTAATTACAGATTAGACCAATCCACGGAAGATAAGGCTATCAATAGCTAGTCATGATGGCTATATATGTGAATTTCAGTATCAGAGGCTGCATAATTCCCAGTGCAGTGGCTAAGGAATTGTTGAAGGCAGTTTTATCACTGCTGTTTTCTATGGGGCTAACACAAGTCCTAATTAGAGCACTCTTTGGCAAATTGAAAGAACTGGTGGTTAATGAAATCTTCATCATACTTGCATAAAAGTCACTGTGTCATCAAAACAAGACAGGGTACGCACTTTTGAACCACTGCAACAATACACGGCACCATAATGACACAACACTGTAGTCTTCTCTATTGCTCAAATAAAAGCTACCACTGAGAAACTTAATTTCTTGCAAACACCAAAGTGAGCAAGGAGGGGAAAGTGGCAGGAACAGGAACTGGAAACATTTACTAGGCACCACAGAATGAATTGCAGAATACAGTGAGCAGAACTAAGCAGTTAGTTCATAATAAGAAATTAGAACACTTCCATCTAGCTGCTGGGAATGAAAGAGGCTATAATTCTTGGTGTGTATTCCAAGGTCAGGCAGATGCATACTCGTCAGAGGAGGAAGGGCCCTGGGAACCAGAATTCTCAGACACTGACATGGAAGAAGCAGAGGGGCTTCTCTCAAGGGCACCCTCCCCAGGTGTTCAGGCCGACATTGAGAATGGTCAGGATTTGCAACTGCAGGGAGGGGGCATGGGAGAACTCCTGCAACCAGCTAGCCTGGTATGACTCTTGACCCCATGGCACAATGCCAGGAGAGGTGGGTATCCAACTACAAGGGCGATGGACAGGTAAGAAGTTTGCCTGCCTTCAAAAGGAACATCCCAGAGGGATGAGGCCCACGGCAACTCAAAAAGAGAATGTTGGGAAGCCGTTGTTAGATTGGGTTCAACAAACCACACTGTGCATGCTCAGAGACTCATTCTTTCTTGCTTGTGCATACTGAAAGTGCACTGGGGAATAATGAGCTTTTGTCTCTGTCATTTTGGAAGTACAAAGGAGGAAACCTGGGACACAACACTGGCTACCTCAGATACCTTTGTGCACTGAACAGGAAGGACTACCTGTCAATGCACTGGGCTGAACATGCAAGCATAGTTCAAACATGGTCTGATCTGTATTATCTTTTTTATTGTTTCATCTTGTTATTATTGGATATCTATTATTCTGTAAACCACCCAGAAACATTTTGTATTGGACAGGTTAGAAATACCCTAATAAATAAACAAACACACACACACAGTTTTGGAAATCCTGCCTTATCAGGGCTCTTGATTGCAGCAGATGTGTAAGCATGAGAGGCCAAACATACTTACATGCCTCTCTACAGACCTTCTTGCTGGGTGCATGAGGGTGTCTGAGCCAGACATGCAGTGGTGCGTGTAGTCGGATATCCCCAATCCTCATTTTAGCCTTGCAAGTGATGCTGGCAAAAACCCACACAGGCCATTCCATTCTTGTTAAAGTTCTTTTTTTAATATATAAAATTATACAATACAACTTAAAGAAAAACATGCAATTGAAATTGTACTAAAGCATAACAAAAGCAGTACATCCCATCATCAGATACAATGGATGTACATGCTGAATTATTTACATACATCGGATACGATTGGATACATGCTTAATCAAGGGGCTCTGTCCCACTTCCAAAATTGCAAAGAGTCTTCTAAAGCTTCAAATCCTTTCCCTTTCATTAATAAATCCTCAGTAAATGGGCCCCAGATATCATCAAAATTATTATTTTCACATTAATATCACAAGTTATTGTTATATCTATATTCCAAAATTCTCTGTACCAATAATTCACGGATAATTTTTTACTTTCCAATTCTTTGCTATAATTAATCTTGCAGCTGTTAATAAGTTGGTTATTAATTCTTTAATATTCCATCTCCATGGTTCTCTATCAAATATTGACTATAATGTGATTCCAGGATTTACTTACAATGTTTAAACTCAATATTTTACTTTCTTTTAAAAAGCTCTTTCCAAAAATTCATAATATATTCACATTCCCACCACCACCACCTAGGGAAATATGTACCCACTCCCCAACCACATCTCCAACATAAATTTGTATATTTACTATCCATATAATTCAATTTTACCAGGCTTGAGTACCATTTCCATACTAGTTTATATTTTTCCTCCTTTATTCTTGAAGAAAAAGTTCTTGTCCAGCATCCTGACTGGTGGGACCTCTAAGATAGGGGTGGAGGTCATTTGCAGCCCTCTAGACCTTTTGGTCACAATCCCATGATCCTTCACTATTGACTATACTGGCTTGCACTGAGGAGGGTTATAAGCCAGAATGTGTGGAGGGTCAATTCTTGCTCTAAGCTTTCCATGACGCAGTTTCAGAAGTCAAGCCTTAAATTCACACATTCTTAGGAAGGTAAAATAATAGTGCAATTAACTTGACTCCTCTATGCTTGGTGAGGGTAGCCCACAATATTTTTCAATGGATTACCTCTTCTGCAGAGGGACATAAACTCAGCTATGGTGATGTTCTGGCCATATTTGACTTTCAGTGGAACCTCAAGGGGAATGTGAGTTGTAGAGGCCCTGTTTTTATCAAAGGACTCAGTGGGCTGAAGAAACAGTTTGATCATTTGTTAGGGATTTGTATTAAGAAAATGAGCACTTGAGTTTGCCGATTTAAAAAAGGAGTACATTAGAGATAGACTGGTGCTTGGAATTCTTTATGAAGGCTTTTTGGAAAGAGTGCAGCTAATATAGGACTTAGAATTTCATAAAGCCCTACAGATAAAAGGTTCAGGGTACAAAGAACACATGTGAATTGCTTATTGGAAATCACCTCCTGTGGACAAAATACTCGAAGCAGCAGCAGGCTTTTCGAAAAGAGCTAATTCATTGCTATTGTCTCTGCAAAAGCTGCCTAAAATATCCCATTTTTACTGCATAAAAATACCCCAGTAATGTTAAGTCTTCTATAGCAAGAAGGGCCACTGTTACAGAAGCATGTATAAGATATGGAAAAGTTCATAACTTTAAAGAGATTTAACCAGATTTAGCAGCACAGTAGAGGGAATACTTAAACATCTTGTGTCAGCTACAGATTGTTCTTAGTCTTAATATTTTCTAAAGAAGCCTCTCTGAAGAATAATGCATTTGCAGGATATACTCAGGAACTGATGCCATAGTCACTTCAAAAGAGACTTACAAAGAAACCCCAAACTTGAACAAAGCAAAAATTACATTGTCCTGCCCATGTAGGGATTAGTACTGTTCTGGATGCTTTACCACAACAACAAATGATAAAGAGCAGTTTGTATTTGCTGCATGTATGATATGAGGCCATCTCTCTCAGCACGTAAGTCCTGAAAACAGTGGGCAATATTAAACAAGTATTTGCAACATTGGTCTACTAAACAGAGAGGCCAGTGCCAGGGGTCAGCAAAGCTGGGCAGCTGCAAAGGCCCAAGGGCTCAGTGGGGCCAATCCCTGCCAATCTGCCCAATCCCCCAGTCCTGGAGAGCCACATCAACAGGAGAAAATGTAGCAAACCTTTAATAAACTAGAATGTTTCCTTGACTACATTTTTCGCACCTTTTGGGAAATTTGGAATTTTTCACCTGCCATTTGGAATCAAAAGTGTCCCAAAGCATGTTCAAATGGCAATTACAGAATTCTTAAAAGTAATTGTCTTCATAAAAACATCCAAATAGTTCATATTGATGAGAGGAGACAATTAATTCTTCCTGGCTGGGCTGTCCCTCTAAGCTTTCTATGAGAAACTTCTTATCTATGTTACAAGAAACATACAACAAATACATCTATATGCTAAATTGTGGGACCAGCCTACAAGTAAATTTATGTGTGTGACTGTATTCCCCTTAGAAAACTTCAATTTACATTTTTCCTTAACTGTATTTCACAGAGACAACCTGGTTTGATATTCATATCCCTCCACAAATCATGTGAAGGCTGGAATTGATCTAGTTCTTACAAATGAAAGGTGAACATAGATAAAGGAGTCAAGCCTTTCCCTGCACATCCTAAGTTAATCATCCTATAAGCA